CCCCCCCCCTTTTATTAACTCTGTTCCATGTTTAATCAAGGATCATGTAGATGGCAAAAGGAGAGACAGAGAGACACGGGGGGAGAGAGGAGAGAGGAAGAGAGAGAGGGAGAGGAGAGACAAGAGATAGGACTGTTTTTTTTTTCCTTTCTTTCTTTCTTTTTTTTTTTTTTTATTGTGTTCTCCTGGATTTTCAGTGGCTTGATCCCTATAAACGTGGAGTGGTTAAAGCTCATATGTAGTATTATATTTTTAGTTGGGTGGATGGATGGAAGAATCAGGGAGAGGCTGCGGCTGCCGCTGCCTTTTCGGTTGGTGCTTAGATTAAAGCTGAGACTTGGCTGCGATTGGGACGCGACAGTGACACGGGCATCGATCGCTTCCATTGAGAGCAATGCAAAAACACAGCCCGGGTATGTAGCACTCTCCGCTGCCATCCACACTTGCTTTACTTCATATTTACTGACAAAACTGACAGAGCAAGCTCCGACTTTCTTTCTTTCTCTCTTTTTTGCTCTTTTCTCTTTTCTAACTGAAGAATAAAAAGAATGGTGTGTACAGTATTTGTTGGAAAGGATGGGTTTAAATAAAGCAGAAAGGGAATCTTTAGGGTTATTTCACTTTTTCTGTGACTGTGCTTTTAGAGTTTTTCTTCTCCACTGAGAAGCATATTAAAGAAATTGAAGATTTTCTTTTCTCATCTTAAAGAAAATAAAAAGTAAATCCTTAAGGGAATGTTTGATATTATTCAAGGGCTGGAGTTCCAAGCAGCAGGAAGACACACACAAATAAAAGACAGCTAGCCAGCTGTTTTAACCTCTGGCACCTGGCTTCAGTACAGGGATCATAAGGTCCATACAGTTGTATTTTTAATGGTTTTAATATTTATGGCATAAACTGCAGAGCGCATCGCTGTGTGTTTATTCAATAGCTGACTGCTCTTGTATTTGAAAAGTAAACTCTTATTCGTCTGTTTTCCTTTTTTTATAGCGATGGAGATAGGGTCAATGAAATATGAGGGTAGCACCATAAATCTGAAAAGTGAAAGGTACCCAAGGAACAAAGAAAGGTCAGGTAAACCAGCTGTGTAAGTCACAGCCACAGGACCCACTGTGGGGTGAGGCAAAAACAGAGGCTCTGGGTCTGGGAAGTGAAAGTTGCCACTTAAAGTTAAAAACAGGCAACCTTGTTGGGTTCTATTGTAATCTTTGGCAGTTTTTGGCAGAGTGGCCCAACTCTGTTCATTAATTGTGAGCTAGTTGGATTATTTTAAAGGTGCTGCAACAGCAAGTGAAAACAGAAAGGAGGCTAAGAAAATTGCTGTTTAATATTGCAGAATTTACTGCTTCCATTCTGACCATGAGCCTAAATTTACACAATGAAATCTGATTATCTCTAATAACAATATTAGATCCTGCACTGGATGGATGAGAATTGAGGTGGTTTTGTTGATTGCAAGGGTTTAATGTTGCATTTCAGAATCTGATGTGGTTTGGCCTCCCTTCCATTAACTGGAAAACCCCTGAGGTTTTACAATTATTTCTTAAAGATAATACATTTAAGATTGCATTGGTAGGCTGAAGAAAAGTCATAAAGGCAAGAAGGGAAGCCCTTAATAACTCTTGAGGTTCAGACATGTTCAGCAGTTAGATTGGCTCTGACTTCACCAAGGGTCGACAATGTGTCATTTCCACGAAGCCAAATTGCCCTCTGCCTATATGATATTAATGTGCAAATCAATATTTCAGGGATTAAATTTCCCTTCTTCATTTTTTATGGTTTCTACCTCAATAAGTCTCAAGTCTATTAGAAGAGGCTGGATGATTTAAAATCTTTCACTGCAGAATGGCTTGTCGTAGTCTTGTTTCACAGACCATTCTAGGGTTTTCGTTAAAAAGACTAAAGGTGCCCTACAGAAGTTGTGAGGCAGTGGAGAGCCAGGGTCAGCAGTGTAAAGCTCTCCTTCGATTAAAGCTAGGATGTATTGGGGATATAATATATGTGTTTGTGCTTGGTATATACATTCTGCTGCTTTAAAAATATTATGTTAATCATCTATTGATTTATTTCAAAATCAATTGATGTCCCTTTCTTAGTAGTGATTTGTTCAGCATTCTTGAGGACTGTGTTAATTTTCTAAAACACTATGCATGGATTAGGTTGGTGTGAAAGTATGGGAAGGAAGAGATTTTTCATGTAGCAACATTTTCCTAAGAAGTACTTCTAGAAATCATCGTTTTTGACAGTAATAATCAAGTGCTGTCATTTACATATATTGTTGTCATGGAGTTTTCTAGCTGACTGACTTAGCTGTGTCTGTTAAATGAGGCCTCCTTCCTTTCTTCTTTATGCTTAGTTTCTAGCACTTAGTAGGAGCAATACTTCTTGAGACTTTCTTGGAGAAACACAATTATATCAGAAAATGTAGGAATTGATTGGAAAATACAAAGTAGAAATGGGGGAAGGATGGAAATAAAAGACTGTGACTTGATCACCTAATCTTCGGAAGGCCTACTGCCTATCATTTGGTCTTGTTTTATAGTCTTAAACCATCTGGACCAAGTTCCGCACAGCTGCAAGAATTTCATATGTGATAGAACATTTTTTCCATTCAGTGTGAAATGTTCCTTCCTAAAAAACGTACACCAGACTCGCTTAATTTAGTCTGTTAAAAGGAATGCACATGAAAAAGGACAAAAGGCTCTTTAATCTCTGCAAGCTGTTTGTTTTTCTTAAAGATTCCTGTGTGTTTGGGTTTGAAAAGCCATGTTTATTGAGGAGATGATTCTGAGGTGTGACACTAGAGTAATCTATGGTTTTTGGACGGATGGCCATGCTCTTACCCAATTTGCAGAACTACTTTTTATGCCTGTCAAAACACAGAGTTAATCTATCCTTATTTACAATTAATCTCAATAAAATTAATCTTAACTATGTTTTATTCAGTGGCTTAAAATATCTAATTATATTCAATTAACTGCCGTTATAGTAATTAACATTGCTTAATTGCCTCTGCATATATTTATGTGAAGCTCATTAGTTGCTGCTGTCTCCTCTTCCTTTTTCTACTTGCTATTTTTGCTGTTGTCAAACCGTTTTTTATCTCCCAAGGTTTGACAGTGGCAATAGAACAGAATCTTCCAAAACACTTTCTGGAAATGAGTGTGATTGCTCTCCTATATCAGACACTTGTTAGGAGCCTTTTACTACTACTCTAACTGCTACCCCTGTCTTCATTTTCTTAGCCTGGATTTCGAGTACACTCACAAAATGTTTTCTGTCACTGTGACTAGAAATATGAGAAGCCAGGTCAGGCTTTGTATTTATAAATGAATGTGTCTGCCTAGGGGCTGTCCCCATAGGCAATGTGGTTTTTCTGTTTTTGTCTTTTGGGGCTCTCACCCCCTCCCACCAAAATCATTCTAAGGGTTAAAGACTTGGCCAAGGTTCAAACTGAGAAGCGCCCAGGGAAAGTGCATGTGAATATGTACAAGTTTCATGTAATTAGTGCTTAATTATATTAACATATGCAAATTGTCAACTTAGAAGCTTGTTGAGCTGGCAAAGATCAGCGAGGCACAATTGCTATATTGTTCAGAAACAATAATGGATTTCAAGTTGGATTGTGGAAACACATAACTAGCTATCTAATTTAACTCATACCATGGTGAAATTTCATTAGTCTCCATGGAGACTGGTTTAATTGTGCTGACTAATGTTCTGGGCTGCAGAATGTCCTAAAAAGAAATCGTTGTTTGCCTAATCCACCTTACAATGACACTTGTTTGTACATGTTTCCCTTGTGTGGGAATTTGCATATGCAAATAAATAGTTTCTCTGCCCCATTTGTCATGGCTGTTCATTACCCATGAAGAGGACATTGTTACTCGGCTGTTACTGAGTCTCCCAAGACTGGATAGTGTCAACCAGTCCAGCTACATTCTTTCATAATTTGTTTCTGATTAATAGACCAGAGTGAGTCTCATTCTCTTTGGGCATCTGCAAGGCAAGGTCAGTCTCTAACAAAACAGAGTTTCTGCAGTAACTGAAGGACTTTGTCTTCTGCCTCTGCCTTCTGCCTTTTTCACCTATTGGTTGGCAGAATGATATTTAAAATAATGTGTTCTTGTTCAAAAAATGTCTCTACTAATAACCACTAGTTTCCTAAAGCAAAAAAATGGGGAAAGAAAGGATATTCTGTTATTAGAATATTAATCCTGTTTTTGACAGAAAGGTAAACTGATATAATTGCTTTTCAGTTGAAGGCATGGGGGTTTATACAAGTGTGAAAGCATCGGAAAAGGATTAGCATTTTTTTGCATAATGAAAAGCTCTGGTGAATAGGGATCCAAATGGTTGACTGAATGACTAAGATGAAAGGAAGATGAAAAATGCAGGCTTCTCTTTATGTCTATGTTCTGTGCTTTCCAAAGTTATGTTTGTCCAAGACACGGGCAAACAAGCAGTGACTCAGATTTCAGCAACTTTCTGAGATGCCTTGAGTTTTCATCATGATTGCGAAGATGTGGATGAAGAGAGTTCAAGCTTGTATATCAGCAGAGGTCTGTATGTAGAAGGCTTTAAGAAACAAATCAGCGTAGCCAAATATTGACTACTGAGTATCAAGAATTCCCAGCACTTGGCTGGCAAGAATAGTTATTTTAGGAGAAGCCAGTGGTATGGCATGATGTTAAGGTCATCTAACTACTGACCTTATAGTGTACTAGCTCTCATTGATAAGGAATGATAAGGAACCTCAGTTGACAGAACACTTCGTTGGGGGCAGAGTGGTGTATTCCGCCTTTTGGTAATATTAAGTGTTAAGTGGCCTATCAGCTTTTGTAAATTAAGAAGGGATAGCAAATGAGAATACAAAGTTGTCTTCTTAGG